AAAAAAAAAAAAAAAAAAAAAAGAACAAAACTGGAAAATAACAAAGATCATTTTCTTAGCATCTATCTAATCTCCATTTGACAAACAGTACCAAAACCATTTTCATATCTCTTGCATTGTAAGCCAACATCACCAATGGTGAAAGAATAAAGCATGACCTAGAAAACACTACTGCTACAAACTAGAACTGCTGTTCTTGAGGTTTTCTTGTGATCACACCAAAAAGTATATGAGCAATCAGTTTAAAAATACTTACAGGTTTACTTCAATTTTAATGAAGAACCTGAAGAGGTTGACAGTGCCCCTTTAAGGAAGTCTTAAAACAAATGACAATCAAATTAATAGTGAGCACACACTGAACCCACTTCTGTGCTGGGAGTCTGGATTTCAACAACATTTAATGATTGTGCAAATGCATCAAGAAATCACAACTTCTAGCACCACAGAGTTAAACAGATTGCCAAGAGTAAAAAAAAAAAACCAACATAAAGATAAAATGCAGGTCAAAGAAATGCTTTTTGAAAAACCATTCTATGAGGCATTGCCCATAACTGACTGAGTTTTAACCCATGTTAATGCGTGTACCAAATTATTTTGAAGCAATTCATCTGAATTCAGTGACTGACATTTCAGTTTCCAGCTAGAGGGAAGTTCTTCCTACGGGCTGAGTTTTCTGTTTGAACTTGCCCAATCATGGTAGACACTACTGCATATGAACACAGGATCTCTTAAATCTTTATGCCAGCTATTGCTCGGGTCTCATATGCACCACGGTACTATATAAGCTAACGAAAACATCATTATGAAATCAGGAACTTGCTTCCAGAATGTGTGCACCACTTTCTTCAGCCAGATTTCATGCCTCTGCTGATTTGAGGGTGTTCCCCAGTTCAGGCCTCCATCCTTCAGAGGACTGCATTTTGGTAACTGAATGACAGATTTCTGTTCCACTGGAACATGGGAGCTGCAAGTTCCAGTGGAATTACAAACACAGATGCACACACTATGTACTTAACAGGGCATCCTTGAACGCTCTAGGAGTGGCCTGCTGGAAGTACCATAGGGAAGTCCAGTGCAAAATGTTCCATTCAGTTGCCACCAGTTCCTTCCTTGAAACGGCTGATTCTACTTGTGTAAGTGCAGTTTATTCATTTAAATAAAATATTCCATGAACTGTAGAGCTATGCTGATTATGAAGGTATCACCAGAAATTAATTAGAGGCGCAACTTGTAAATAAACAATTTTATTGTTCATCTTCACATATGTGAAAGACATTACTACAGCATCCATTACTTTCAAATTACAAAGTTGTTTAAACAAGATTAAAAAATTAAATTAATATTCTGATAAGGTGCTTAACCTCTTAACAGGACAAATTAACAATAAAAAACCTTAATGAATTAAAGTTATCATCTGAGCAGGTCTTGGTCAAAAAGAAATAACATGACATAACCCTAATACAGTTAAATAAACTACTATATCTGCATCTAAAAGGCTGAGGTTTTCGGGTTCAAGACAGTTGTAAATTAAAAAAGTTATAAATATAAATAAAATATATTTCCATCAGCACATCATATTTTTGGCTGTTGGCCTGAAGCTTTCTACGGTGTTTTTGTATTATATTATTTAAAAAAAACTCACAAGACATTTTCCCATTCAGCATTCTAGCAGTAGCAGACAGTGTCTCTCATTAAAGGCTGTCAGCTTTGCCATAGTAAAGCCTTTTTAGGGATTTATAACTCGGCCATTTTAATTTGAATTCGGATGGGAACTTGAAAAAAAAAAAAAAAAAAAGAGTTTTGAGGTCAGACATTTTCCCCTCCATTTCTAATCAGTTCAAGTTTTGATGATTTGTTTTTCCTGCACTTAGAAGAAAGAAGGAAGCCTGCTAGGTTTTTGGATGCCCTTTTTAAAAAATATTTTAAGAACTTTTGAAGCTAAAAACAAGTTTTTTAAAAAATTACAATTTCCATACCATTAGCCTGTCAATGGTAAAAGTGCTCTTTGAATTTTTTATTTTTGTCTCTAAACAACACAGGTAAAATGGAAACAGCCGAGTTATTGAAGTCTGAAAAGTTACTTTTTTTTTAATGCACTGTAGTTTATACTGCTGCATAAACAGTCTACGTAAACTGCAAAATCCCATTACTTTCAATGGGACTGTGCACATTAAAATTTACATTGTAATGATTCTTCCAGAAATGTCATGCTGTCGGCCATTTCACAGTTTTTGCACACTGAAAGTATCACACACAGTAGCAAGAAATCATAGCATATTTAATATGCAAAAATTTGAGAAATGGAATATCATGTCAATACATCGTAAACCATTATGCAAAATATGAGTCAATGCATTGACACCATAGCGGCTCAGAATTAACCTTTACAGTGGCAGCATTAAAAGCAGAACCATAATGCTCCATTGTCAGCACCCTGGATTTGAGAGACTCTCAGATCCAATACACTGCCAGTGGAAAACCACAGTAATGCAATTATATATCAGACCTAAAGAACCAGTACAACTAACAAAGCATCAAAGGAAGTTTGGGGCAAGGACTGCTTAGAGAGTGTGCCGGGGCTTGAAAAGAATGTAAGTGCTCTTTTTGAGGGGGGGCTAGTTTGTTTTAAACAAACATTAACATTACAAAGGAATGAAAATGAATACAAAAAAGCTTCATTAAAAGTATATTAAGGCTCTGATTTAAACCAATAAGAGCAAAAGGTGTCCAGAGTGAAGGCTGTCATTTCACCCTTAGCTTGACCTAGTGTGCTTGAGGTATTCAGCCCTTTTAATAGGCAAGATCATGCATATTTGAGATTCAAGGAATGCCTGAACACAACGGAATGAGCCAGAGATGAACTGGCAACCTTCCGTTTCTTCAAAGAAGGGAGTTTAAAAATCAGACCCTTAACATTATTTAAATTCTTTTTTGTATTTATTAAAATATACACCCTAGCAAAATGTATGGCTCATTGAACAGTTCAGAAAACACAGTCTACAACACCAATTCTTACAATATAAAAAAAACAAACTTCTTACAAAAGAAGTTTTGCTGGATGTCAAAAACCCTGATTCAAGCCACAAATTAAATTTGTGTAAGGGTCTTTTTCTAAACAAGTTGCTGTCATGGTTTCAGTTATAAAATTGTACACGGGAATAGAAGTCTCTTAACCATGGGTTTTTTCCAAGACTGTAAATCACGTACTAAAATTCAAGGTACTTGTGTGGTCTACAACAATTTACTTGCATCCTCTGCCAGTGCAGAGATGTAAACTTAAGAGCAAATATTTAGTTCCCTCTCTCTTTCTGAAGGGGCATTTTTCATGTTACTATATCTCCATGGCACACTCCAGTGGGAACCCTGCAAAGGAAACAAACTCTACCATTTCATACCTGCTCCAGGACTGGAGCTGTTTCTTTGCTGACTTCCTTTTTTTCACCACCATCCACAACAACAGCTTTGGATGCCAACAAACCTTAAGAGAAGAGAAAAGTGGCAGAGATTTTAATTTAGAAAGAGTCTGGCTTTGAGCTCACCATTTATCATGAGGATTTACGATGAAAAAAACATAAAAGTGAAAAAAGAAAGGACTTAAAACATTTTAATCTAGAACAAGATTCCTTCCAAAGTCACTTTTACAAAGCCTGAGTTTTTGTTTAGTAGAATAAAAGTGTTGGCATCTGGCCCACAAAAGTGCTTATATTCCACCACCAGAGAGAAAAATGGAACCATAAATTGTAAGGCTTTTCCCCTCCCTAAACAGCAACGCTTCATAGCTAGGCCTACACTATTAGAGTATGGGTTTATTTATTTTTTATTTTTAAGAGCTTATTTAGAGGGTACAGACAGACATAATTATATAGATATAAAAGGATAATAATAAGCTGTCACAATTTAATGTAACATCTGCATTATTCTGTGACAATACAAGCGTAGCAAAAGTGAAGGAACTTCAACCTAGCATCACTGAGGGTCAAAATAAATGTAATTTACCCAACTTCCACTGCTACACCACCATGCAGACACAGCAGTTGCATCCTAACAGCCGATGTCTGCTCCCAGGTAACAGCTCCCCCTCCCATTTTAAAGCAGCTAAAAGGTATATTTGTCCATACCTGGAATCAGCCTCCCTTCCCTCGTAATTTGGTCTTTGCATGCTTTCCTAACGGTGCTAAGGTTTACAGCCACAGGGCTCCTATCAAAAATGTACACTACCTATTCCCACCTCTTCAAAAGGCCCATGAAGGCACAGAGGTGATACTTCCCCCTATGCGGCGCTGGTCAGGCCACAGCTGGAGTACTGCGCCCAGTTCTGGGCACCGCACTGGGTAACCTTGAGAGGGTCCAGGAGGACTACTTGGATGGTTAAGGGCCTGCAGGTAAGATCCTACAAGTAGAGATTGAGGGACCTGAATCTTCAGCCTCAGCAAAAAGAAGCTGAGAGGGGATCTTGTGGCCATCTACAAATTCATCATGGGGACAACAAGGAAGAGAGGATACTCTGTTTACCAGGGTGCCTTCTGGAGTTACTAGGAACAACAGCCATAAACTGACAGAAAGCAGATATAGATTAGGCATTAGGAAAAATTTCTTTATAGTAAGGGTTGTCAAAATCTGGAATGGGCTTCCAAGGGAGGTGGTGCTCTCCCCAGCCTTGGGGGTCTTTAAGAAGAGACTGGACAAGCACCTGGCTGGGGTCATCTGACCCCAGCACTCTTTCCTGCCCAGGGCAGGGGGTTGAACTTAATAATCTACTAAGGTCCCTTCTGACCCTAAAATTCTATGAAATCTATAAGCAAGGGGCAATTGTAAAAGGGCAGCTGGATGAAGTGACTGGAACGTTCATTCTTCAATGAATGACCATCATTCTGTGATTTTTAGGAATGCGGATCTCCAAGAGTAAAAGATACCCACTATGGTCTTGCTAACTGCAGCATCAGTATGTGGTGCTTCAATCACAAATCCATATACGAGACCACTAACACTCAAATTTAAACGTCTGTCAACCTCAAACTGCTGGCTCTTAGCCAAACACTAACTGGGCACATCAACACGTGTCATTAATACACAGCAATATATTCCAGAGCTTACTGCTTCTGGGAAGCTCCCAGGGGCGCCATCTGCACATGCGTCTGGACCACAGCACAATGAACTGGGTTGGAGGAGCCTGCCAACCTGGGGCTGCTCCAGCCAGGCTCAATGTGCTGCGGAGGGGCTGGCTGGGGCACGAGGGTACTTCAGTGCAGGACTAGCTGGCAGGTATTTACAAGTACCACCCTGCTGCAGAGTTTATTAGTTTCCTGCACCCTAATAGGGGCGCACATGTAGATGCTGAGATGTTTACTGCAGAGCTAATTAGTCAGCTCCACAGTAAACAACTTGCGTAGGTGTTTCACACCAGTAGGTGTTTCTAAACTGTGTCATGCAGGAACTCACAAGTTTGGACACATGAACAGACAGGATGAGCTGGAGACATAAGCCTTTAGCAAATCACACTGTGGTACCTGTTCATATATAAGTTATGCATTTAAAAGCATGGGAAACAGGTAGTCTCTGTACTGCAAGGTAGTCATTTGAAAGTCTAACCAATCTAAAGAAGGCCAGACAAGCTATTAAAACGTGTATCCTATCAGCCACTCTGTGCTAACTCTGCCCTTGTGCACACTCTTACACCACAATAAATGCAAGGTAACTTACTTTATTTTTACCGAGGAGCAAGGTACCTTATACTTATTGTAAGGACAGCATATGCCTATGGGCAATTACTGGAGTAGCTGACATGCCATAAATTCAAACCATAGGTTACCTTGTGATAACTTGTTCATCTGTCCAGAATCTTAACCCAAATTCATCTACGGGTGAATCTGCCACTGCAGAAAGCTGGTTAAACCAGTTTTAAGGGTTGTGTCACATGTTTACAGCTTTTTCTAAAACTGGAACAGCTTGACTTGCCACAGGTTAACTCATGTCTGTCCAAGGGCTTATTTTATCTAGAAATAGCATCAACTAACGTTGCGGTGAAAAGACCTAAACCTGTTCAAACCTGCCTAATGTCCACGCTAAGGAGGCAATAAAGTTCCTGGAAAAAACAGGCTGGAAAAATCCATTTCCTGCCATTTTATGGTGGGAGCAGCAGCTGCCTCCTAAGACAGGGGTGGCCAACCTGCAGCTCCAGAGCCACGTGCAAGTTAATATGCATCTTCTTGAATCATTGCACAAGCACATGACATGATGTAATGGCTATGGAAGCTGGTCACCGTGTGCTTGTGCAAAGATTCAAGGAGATGCATATTAACTTGTAATTGCTGCTCTTCAGAAGTTACAATCATCCTCAGCTGCAAGGGATTGCTGAAGATGACAAATCACAAGTGCACTAACAATCAGGGATACAGGTTGTAGCCATATTGGTCTACAGGCAAAAGGAATCATAACTCTGGGTCGAGGCGATATCTTTTATTTGACCAACTAGATATTTGCAAAAAGAAAATAATCTGTATTTGCAAGAATGAGTACACCTGAAAGCTTGCAAATAAAGACTTTTTTTTGCAAATATTTAATTAATTTTATAAAAGATATCGCCTCTACCCAGAGTTCTGATTCCTCATAACCATTGGATATTCTAAATGGCACAGTTTATAAAGTACTGCTACTATATTCCATGGAAAATTAATTAGCCTCCCAAGCAATTTAGCATGTTATTCCCAAAGTGTTATTAATTAGCAAACTATGGGTTTTCCTCATGTCAGCTGTTTAGGAGATGTCCTCCTCCAAATCAGATAGCATTCCATTAAAGACCTGCTATTGACTTTTTATTTCCCACAAGGACTGACTAGAGGCAACAGTGTTATATTCCTAACATTATTTATGCCATATTTATTAGATACATTTATGGAAAAAAAATTTTAAATTAACATAAGCAGAACATTGGCTTCAATTCAAGATGTATAATTCAAGAGTCTGACTTTCTCTCCCTCTGCCTGAAGAAGGGTGTTTGTACCCAAAAGCTTGCATAGAACAATTTTTTCCAACTCGTTAGTAGGTCTAATCAAAGGTACCACATTTACCCAAAGATCCATGTCTGTCTATGCCCCTGAAAATATTCTTAAATTCACTAAGACAAGTTTGCTCTGGGCATTACAGTCATGTATGGAAACAGAAGCTTGAAATAAATAGCTTACAGCGTAAAACAACAGCATGCTACAAACAAAAAAGGGAGGGATCAGGCAGTGGAAAAGAGCAGATGTTTTGTTCTCCCCACTTTTAATTTGTTAGGAATAGTCACCAGATAACTGCCTGCTACTTCTTCAGAACTCATGATGGTGGTGAGACATGTTACCTACAAGTCTTTTATACATAGGTAGTTGACTGGCTGCCATGCAGCACAGCATCATATATTATGGATGTAAAATACCAGATGAACAATAAAAGGTATATGTACAGTAAGCTTTTCTTATGTTTCAATATCTCAGTCAGGTGGATTTTTAAAAATTCTTCTGTGGGAGCAGTCCAACCAAAATGGATTACCCACCCTTAAAAGAATATCTTCAATTAATGCCAAGCACAGTTTCTGCTTCAGAGGCAACTTCATGACCAACTAGGGCGGCCACCATAGACACATTCTGGTTTTCTGCTACCCTATCCTCTATTGATACGAAATCCAACACTGGTTTCATATCAATAGAAGACAAAGAACAATCAGACTGTCCTCTATGATGGCCACCCTATTACCAACCGATAGCTTAGAAATATTTCAGAAGAAGCCTAAATGAGAATGAAATTCTTTTATTTACCATAAAGCTGCATTTCTGTCCATCTGATCACTAGAGACATTTAAGACAAAAACGCAGGCTATAACTAAATGTACATCTACTTTTACAATTTATTTCTCCATCTGATGTTTCATGGTTTCATAGTTTCTAAGGTCAGTAGGAACCTCTACAGATCATCAAGTCTGACCCCTGCCCTGGGCAGGAACAAGTGCTGGGATCATAATACCCCACCTAGATATCTATTCAACCTCTTCTTGAACACCCCCAAGATAGGGGAGAGCACCACCTCCCTTGGGAGCCTGGCAGCCCTAACCATAAAGTAATGCCTCCTGATATCAAGCCTGAACCTGCTCTCAATCAGTTTGTGGCCATTATCCCTTGTTACCCCAGGTGGTGCCCGAGGGAACAGAGCCTCACCTAATTCAGTGCAGTCAAGTATGATATTGTCTTCTGTTTATGACTTCAGATGGGAAACAAAGATCCACAAATACTATAAAAATCTTTTTTAACGAGAGCATAAGTCAGAGGGAAACATATTTGGAGTTTTTTAAATAAGGAAAAATTATTAAAGAATTCAGATGTGGTAATACCATCTGTTCCCCAATCATGCTTTTGCTTTTTTTTGTCATGATCTCTTTCAACACTGCCCTTACTTTTATTAGGGCAAGGAACCAGTAAGCCATTAACAAATGAGTTTTCAAGTCCTGTTTTACTTGGCTTGAACTGAGATCTCTCCAAACACCCTCCCAGCAGTAGACTGTTAGAACCTGAATCCTCAACCCAATCATGTACTCCCTTCCCTCTAACAAGAACCCCCACACAGCTCTTAAGGGGAAGTTGCTGGAATAACATCTATTTATTGGAGCATCTCAGTTTAGCAGCTACAATGCTTTACTATTTCCTCAGGTTCATTCTGCTTGGTATATCAGCACAACCCAACACCTCTGCCTTCAGTCAGGAAGTGAAGGCTGAGGCTCGAGACATAAGCATAATTTTAAAGGGTTAATTGTTAGCAAAGGCATCACAGTTTTCATCTTTAAAGTGCTCTAAGCACATTAAGGTTATCAGTAGACACTGTAACCACAGAAATCTAGAAATAGTTATGGAAAGAAAAGTATTAAAACAGTCCAATCACAATCAAAGATCATACATGTTAATCTGGAATTGATTGAAAGCTTAACTTAAAACCATCCTTAAGACACTTAAAAAAGTAAGAACTAGCACATATTGAAAACATCTTGAAGAATTAATTAACCTATTCATTCAGGCAAACAGGGACTAACCTTTGGCAAGTGAGAGAGCACCAGTGGTTGGAGCATGAAATTCACTAGCCTGAGCTAATGAAACTGATTGGTTAGTAAGTCTCACATTTCTGTTATTGCTCCAATGAGAACATGGAATCTCTCCTTCTCAACAAAAGGAGCACTGCCCCCAGAACTGCAGAATGAACGGTCCTCAGTTGCTGCTAATCATAGGATTCCAAGCACCGATGGAAGGAAACTCGCACCACACTGGTCTGTTTCAGTGTTACTATCAACATCTGGACAGCAATCAAATTGGCCAAAAATAAGTATACTTTCAGTCTGGTACTGCTTAGTGCATCAGAGTCACCACACATTGAGGCACAATACTGAAACTCTTTCATCCTTTAAAGGATGCTAACAAGCATAGCAAGGCACTTTGTGTGGAGAAGGAGAAAAACAAAAATAGGGCATTCATACACATGCTGGGGGTGGGGGCTGGGAGACATGTTTTAATTAGAGAACCCCTAATTAAAGTGCCTGGAGCATCTCGTATCAGTGCTCCTGTGCTTCAAAATGGTGGTGGGGGCACTTTATCTTGAACAAGCTTTAGATAAAACACCTCCACCACCATTCTGAAGCATGGGGATGCCGATACACAAGATGCAGTGGGCTGCTGGAGCGCAGTAATTGCCATGAGTCTGCTCCGACACACTGGAATTCCAGCGAATCGGAGCAGCCTCCGCACTCATGTAATAGGCACCCTGTGCAACACCTATTAGCTAAGCTTAACACAAAACAAAAACCTTTGCTCTGCATCTGAAGACAGCATCCTTCCAAACACTTACAGACTGACAGTTCTGGCCTTTTTCATATTAGGTTCTCTGTTAGTCTTCTGGTTACTAGCAGAGCCCAAAACATTTAACCTTATGCACAACCAATACACTAAACAGAACATACTCAGTTACTTCTTAGAGAAAGTCATATTAACACAAACAAGGAAAAAAGGAGAGTCGTGTTCACAACGTACTCTTGGATTCTAACAGTTCTGCCTAGTCCCCATTAAAGAAGTTTGGCATCTAATTAAACAATTTTCCCTGTGTGATTTAAATTTAGTTTACCATAGCTCTGCTAGCAAACAACTAATTCTTCTGCAACAATAGCTAGTGAGATTTCAAAGCAAGTTCTATGAATTTTCACAAGTCACTAATACAGAAAAAAATAGATGTTCAAAGTATACCACAGGATAGTCTACCACAGCAGTTCAATATGGTTTACAAACACTGAGAACTAAACAAGATCCTTGAGCAGCATTACTTCTAGTTGAGCAAAAATGTCACAACCCAGGCACAAGCTTATTTGCCCATCCAACACAAGAGGACTGGCTAAGGGGGAAGTTACAATGCTGTTGATTGGGGGGGGGGGGGGGGGGAAC